TATGTATATATATATATATATCAAAAGAAGCTACATATCTCAGACTTGCAATTCTGGATGTCTTTAATCTCGTTCTTCCTTTTCCTCACTAATGAATCCTTGACACTCTTGTGATCACTAACTCACCCATCCTTCTTTTCCATCATCGATGAACCATATTTGACCCTATTCATGCAAACCCTCAACCCCCTCCAAATTGATCTCTTTAAAGATATAAATATGATATAAAAGTTTCCTTGCAACCTCCCTCAACATCGATCTCTCTCTATGTAAAGCAATCGCTCCACATCGATCTCTCTATGTAAATCACACCATCTATGTAAATGGATTRGACTGTGMAAATCGATCTCAAAGACAAGGAATCATAATGAACAAACTTATTTGGTTCTGTTCAAACTTGTGTATAACTTGATTTCTTCTTCTTTGATCTACTRTTTGGCCTTTTTTTCTTCATTTTCTATAATCATCCTCATCATCTTCTTTAGGGTTTGATTTTACAAAACTTCTTGTTTTTGGTTTCAATTTAGGGTTTTGGTTCAAAATATTTATTTGTGTACAATAATTTGATGATAGTGAAATTGACTTATTGTTATTTATCTTGATTATATTTATGCTTTAATTAAAATCTCCAATAAAATACAATAGGTTTAGATTTAGATTTAGGTTTCTTGATGTTTATAATTTTGATGTTCATGTAAAATTATCTAGGGTTCATGGTGTTCAGGAAGAATAAGGTTAAAAAGACATGTTTACCATGGTGGTTCTGTTTCAATGGTGGTATAGAAGGGGTGCCATGATTGTTCATCTCAGGGGTAGTTGGGGAAGGGGTTCACGGGTKTGTAAAAAGACAATGGTTGACAAAAAGAATCTCCTCGATTTCTTAGAGTTGTAACACAATACAAGTGTTCCTCAACCATGGAACCGAATTTTCAAGCCTTCAACTCAAGCAATGATTTCTCGAGCATGKWAACRAATCTAGAAACAAATCTAGAAGCCTTCAATGGTTTATTCAACAAACCCCAGATTTGATCAAAACTCTTCTGTTGGAGATGGCTTGGTAGTGCAGGAATGAAGTATGTAGGAAGTTCGAGATTAATGGTYAGTGTTGCAGGGTTCGTCGGAGATGGAATATGGAGGGAGAGGGGTGGGTGTTCGATATTGTTGACGGCTATTGGAGAAGAGGCACCARAGTTTCTGTCAGAGAATGGCGGGGATGCTGATACTACAAAAGAGAGTGGGGGTTCGTGTATTTACAAAAATGTGTATATATAATGTAATGTATAATTAACATTTAYTTATTAAAGAAAATGACAGGAAATAGAAATGATCTAAAATGCCTATCATTTAACGGGATTTTTAAACGCCGTTAAAGGAAGGGAACAAATCTGATCGTTTATGCCAATAACGATGGGCAAACTGTTATTTCGAAATTATAGGGACAAAAACTGTTACTTTTGAGAAACCACAGGGATGAAATTGTAGTTTACTTTGGTCCATGTTTTGAGAAAGATTGCTTCTTTCGTTCATGTGGTTTTGAAATTACGTTTCCATCCTTATGGTTTGTAATTTATTAMTGTTTTTCGTCCCTGAAAGAAAGTATGTTAAAACTCCACTACAAAATTAGGGGTATTTAAATCTTTTTKRTTTWTTTTTTGTTTATTAAATATATTTTTTTGGTTTCTTTGGCATTTTTATTTTTTTGATTTAATAAAACTATATATATTTTTTGATAAAAATGGTTAATACATAAAAAAAAATGTATATTCTTTTGTTATTATGTATGATAAAATATTTAATTTTTTGTAATACAATTGTTTCTTTTTTATATTTTTGGTCATTATAGTTTTAGTTTTTTATGACTTTGATTTTTGTCACTAACATCGCTCAAGTACAACCCATTGAGCACTTTGACATAAGTGTATTTTAATTATTTTTTCTTCATTAGAGACTAAAGGTTTATATTTTTCATAGGATCAAACAATTAACTATTTTTAAGCTATTTTTAAGTTATTTTTACAAAATACATGTGTGCAATTTTATTAATAGGACGTACAATTATTTCTCGTAAGTCACTCAATTATACCAAACAAATGTATGTATATATAAATATGTTACAATAAGTTATAAAAATATACGTTTTATTAATAAAATCGCATGCATTTATTTGGTAAAAACCTACTATAGTAAATTGTTTGGTCCGATGAAAAAAGTAACCATTTTAGTCCTTCATGAAGAAAAAAAAATTAAAATACTATCATATGATGAGTACTCAACGACTTGCACAAAAATAAAACTAATAATAAATTAAAACTATAATAACAAAAATGAAACAACATACTTAATTATTTTATCATAAACAATAATAAAATAACATATTTTTAATGTACTAATTTTTTTTATCAAAATTATATAGTTTGATTACATTAAAAAGACTAAATTACCAACAAAAAAAA